CATTACGAGCTAATCAATACACATACAAATTAAAAGCCGAATAAAATACTACCAATGAATGCAATAATCCCCGAGCCGACGGCGCGAAGCGCCGTGCGAGAGTACTAATTCCCCCGGCTATTTATACCCGGGGAAACGAAAGCATTAGCGAAGTCTAAAGTTCATCAATGAGCGCGGGCGTCGGTCACCAACGATGGGTGGTCATCCCATGATCCCACTGGGTCATCCTCACTGATCTCAAAAATATGGCGGACTGTCATGAATAACGGACACTGATTGGTCCAATTTAAAGTTTGCATTATAACGACTGCATGACGACAGCAAAATAGCAAACATTTCTTGATTTGGTGATTGATAAATTGCTTGCAAATATATTTCATTTTTGCTCGTATTTCTGCAAGATTTTATAAATTTCAAGAAAGAAAAGGCGAAAGAATCGGCTAAAAGAAGGGAGCCGACGTTAACGAAGGTAAGTTTGTTTTAAATATTGATTTTATAATGGCTTTAAAACCCGACGGCTTTTGCGTATATGAAACAACTAAACAAGACAGCATATAATTTCAGTGTATCTTTAATATTGATTCCCTTTTTTATTATATTGAATTTTTTAAATAAAAAATAAGCAAAGTTATTTGCAAGCGAGAATTTGAAATCATTTTATTGCAAACTCAAAGTTTATCGATAAAGCCATAATAATAGCTAAAGGTAGTTTAGTTTTATAAAGAACACTTTGAAACGTTTTGTGAATTCTTTGTGGTTGGATTTTACCTTAAATTGAAGCTTGTATTACGTATAATTACATACCTAACATATATATGTTGGGAAATTTATAATTTTGTAATTAAAAGTGATATTTTTAGGCGATTTTCATTTGTAAGAATGTTCTTAAAAATTATCGTGTTACCATGACAACTACTTTAGATACTTCATGTTCGGAAAATACAATGGTTTTGTCAGCAAGGCGAGGGTTTCTGCATGCATGTATTTTCTAGTACTTGCATGTACTACTTGTGATTGAAAGATTGATTTTAAGGTTGGTCTTCATATGGGGCTATTCATGTCCTGTTGACCATACCTTCAACCATATTATGTAGTGTTTTAGTCTATTTTATGTATGGTTGTAAAGTTAATAAATAAATAAATAAATAAATAAATAAATAAATAAAGAACAAAGTTCTGAAAATTTGAAGCTATATTAAAATACGGTCAGATAAATTGGGATTTGGAATATGTCTAAATGAGCATGTATTTAATTTTTTCGAAATCACGAGCGTGCCATTTTAGTGAAAGCCGTATCGTATGTTATGTCAAATGAGAAAGTGAATGCAATATCGTTTTAAACAAAACCAGCATTGTTCAGGAAGTTAATAACATGCAGTAAGATTATTAAATAATTTACAAAATTGTCAGCAGTTATTAAATAGTATACAACCTTACGACTTACGACATTTGGACGATATTTATCTAAATGATATGTCAGCGATCGAGCATCAACAATATAATTATTCGTTATGCGGGAAATTAGGCGGGAATTTCCGGTTTCGGTCGTTTCCGGTTTCGGTCGTTTCCGGATTCGGTCGTTTCGGTTTCCTTTCTTTGCAGAGACCCAAAATAATGAGAACATTTTTTTAATGTGTTACTATACGTGCGGCCGTGCGGCCGCTACTTCTGGAACAAATTCGGCAAATATTCCAAGATTTATATGTAGCATGCTATATTCAAAATACTCCGCTCGTCCGATAATAAGCATAGGGCATTGCGCAGCCAATGTTGCGTGGATGCGCGTGGCAACGTGAAACCTGAGAAATGAAAATGTCCGTGATTTCTGGCCATGGAAAATTTAGCTAGTTTAAATACGTTCCTATGAATTTATGCAAATAATGAAAAATAAGTTAGCTTGCATACTGTATGCTTATCATAAAACAGTTTTTATAATTAAACTTACCAAGTGGTATTTTGGTATGTACGGAAAAAGAGTAAAGACATCTCTCGTGTGGAAATAATTCCAAACCGGCTTTACTTCCACAATATAATGCAGTCCACTATAGTTTGCCAGCTCTGTGGTGTTGAAAGTTAATTGTATTGTCTTCCATTCAGTTTCAATGATTCTTGGTACTACTGGCTTCGGTAATTCCCTTTTGTAACCTTATAATGTAAAGATTTGACTTGATGAAATATAAAGGGTCGGAATGTCGTATGATTTTTATTTGAAAGTCTTTTCCCTTTATTATATTTTCTTTTCTTCCCGCCTTTAGTACATCCATGAATACATTTATGCACGAGATTTTACAAAAATACAATTAGTCTAGGACCTGTATAGGACTTTGTATGCGTTTCATTTACCACTGGTAATCTCAACTGTTTTAGGGTAAAATGACCATGGCGAAAGTCCTGAAAATGACCCGCCCTGAAACGGCAGTGCTGACATGGCTCTAACTTCTGAAAAGCAAAAGCGACAGCCTTTCTGAATTGCTTATAGTGTTTAGAAGGGTTGCTTTTAGAGGTGGTTATTGGAAAGAAAAATTTGTCTAAGTATAATATTTTACAAGAAAATGACCATTCATCACCCCAGGTAAATTGCTAATTATGCATAAAATAACTAATATACATGGCAGAAATTAAATATCCTTATTTCCTAAGAAAAATTATCATGGGATGAAAAACTATGCTTAATTTAATATAATTATTGTAGTTTTCATAAGGATAGTCATTATTTTCTATAAATATAATATATTTTATTTCACTTACCCCCCACGAAAACACGATTTCAGCCATATTTTGCCGTCTTGTTTGCTTTATATCACCGTGTCTCGCAAATAACATCCAGTTGTTGTACTTTTACGTCATGGCAAATGGTTAAAGAAGATTTCAATCAAGTTTCGGCTAGTTTTGAAGCAGTGCAGTGTATTTTATGATATGGTGTCCTTCGATATTTCGTCTAATATGCCGCCATTTTAATGGCTCGCCGATTCTCTGCCCGATAAATGCCACTTCTTCGTCTTCATATGTATTTAGATTACAGTATCCAAGAGCACTTCATTGTAGAATAGTCCTAATCGAAAAATTGAAAACATTACTTGCACTTGAAAGGGAAAAAAAACCCATAACAAATTCAGGATAGGAATAAAAACAAATCATTTGAAAGTCACGCGCAATCTTCGCGAAAATTCCTCGTGGCTGCTTGACAGGGGGAGGTGAATATTTTCACGAAACGTTTGTTCGCCAACAGCGACCTAACTGGATATATTATATTTATTGTATTTTTATGATTGATAATAAAAATACGTAAATATTTATTGTTTTTATCTTTAAATCATAAAATACAATAAATACAATATATTTAGTTGAAACTTGAGTTGCTGTGGTGGCGAGCAAACGTTTCTTGGAAATATTCGCCCCCCCCCCCCTGTCAAGCAGCCGCGAGGAATTTTCGCGAAGATTGCGCGTGACTTTCAAATGATTTGTTTTTATTCCTATCCTGAATTTCTTATGGGAGGTATTTTCCTTCCAAGTGCAAGTAATGTTTTCAATTTTTCGATTAGGACTATTCTACAATGAAGTACTCTTAGATACTGTAATCTAAATACATATGAAGACGAAGAAGTGGCATTTATCGGGCAGACAATCGGCGAGCCATTAAAATGGCGGCATATTAGACGAAATATCGAAGGACACAATATTAAAGATAAAATACACTGCACTGCTTCAAAACTAGCCGAAACTTGATTGAAATCTCCTATAACCATTTGCCATTATGTAAAAATACAACAACTGGATGTTATTTGCGAGACACGGCGATATAAAGCAAACAAGACGGCAAAGTATGGCTGAAATCGTGTTTTCGTGGGGGGAAGTGAAATAAAGTATATTATTATATATCAATAGTCAAAGTCGCATTTTTCTAGTGTTTTATTGGTTGAGAGCATATCACGTGAGAGTGACGAAATCAGGCTGTCTCCCTCGCAACAGCGCGAGAGGGAGATAATACGTTATCGACTGGGGAATAACAAAAAAAATCACGTGCGCCATCACGTGAAGATGCGACCTGTGGACATGCCTAGTACGTAATTAAAACTTTCGCTTTAAGTAACTGCAGTGTAGCCAGTGTTTAATATAACGCTTTAACAATAAAATATTTCATGTATTTACGTTCATTTGTTCTTTAATTTGTTGGTTTTTTTACTATTAGTATATAATAAGACACTTATTTACTGAGACCTCTTGAAAGCGTGTCCACAAAACACACTGTTTCCCTCGGTCTCAGTAAATAAGTGATAATTATATTTATAGAAAACAATGACAATCCTTATGAAAACTACATAATTATATTAAATTAAGCATAGTTTTTCATCCCAATGGTAATTTTTTTTAGGAAATAAGGATATTTAATTTCTGCCATGTAGCCTATATTCGTTATTTTATGCATATTAGCAATTTACCTGGGGTGATGAATGGTAATTTTCTCGTAAAATATTATACTTACACAAATTTTTCCTTCCAATAACCACCCCTAAAAGGAACCCTTTTAAACACTGTAAGCACTTCAGAAAGGCTGTCGCTTTTGCTTAGTTTCGGAAGTTAGAGCTATGTCGGCACTGCCGTTTCAGGGCGGGGTCATTTTCAGGACTTTCGTCCCGGATTCAGGTTTCGGCGCATATGCCATGTTGACCGCCATGGTCATTTTACCCTAAAACAGTTGAGGTTACCTGTGGTAAATGAAACACATACAAACTCCTATACAGGTCCTAGACTAAATTACCTGCATGTATTATTCTACGAAGGGATTTCTCTACACATGTTTCCTTGCATAAATCATCATCATGTGCAATCACCTGCAAAGCAAAAACTTGATTGTGACATTGTGCATGTAATTTGAAATGTTTCCATTATTTGAAAATATTTTCTAATACGGAGAGATAAACAACATATTTCTACTATAGAACTTGGTAGTTTTACTTAGCTAAAACAGTTCAGTCTACAATAAGTTTAAAAATCTTAGCAAGGAACTAAAGAATTTGTGTGTTGCAGAATATATATTGTTTAGCGCATCTTAACGATATTATATGTTGCATTGTACTGCATTTAAGTTTCATGCCTAGTTTCTATTAAATCATAAATATAACAATTGTCGCATCAGAAGAGTCGTACAAATAGATAGTTGCGATTTCTGCGATTGCGATTGGTGTCTTACGATTGCGCGATTCTTGCGATTTTGACAATTTAACTTACACAATTGTTAAGATAAAAAATATGCCATGTGTTATGAATGAATTGCAAGGGCGTAGATTCCACTTCTTTCAGCAAGTTGAAAATCACAAGCAGGATTTTTCTCCACTGCTCAAACCCAGTAAATAATAAATATCATTAATAAGTAGATTGTTGTTTATCGTTCGAAAATATCCATCTCCATGAGGGACCTTTGCACCGAGATGCTCAAAATTTAGAATTACTTCACTCTTTCTCTAGAATAAGCGGCTTTCATTCTGTCAAGTCTGTCAAGCGTTATATATGCGGTCATATCGCGGTCAACTTCATAATTACACTGGCCTGTAAGGCCAAGTGTCTTAAATCCCCCTTTTTCTGTTTTTTTTTCGTAATCGAGAAATCGAGTTTGCGTTAGCTCATCGCAGGCTCAGGGTGCAACGATTAACCCAAAACGCCATCGATTCCCTCGGTTCCATGATTTAGATAGTATAGTAATAAGCTCGTATATATGTACGTAATAGCAGACTCATGCCATGCTTGTGGTACATTTTTCGTTTATTAGCCTATACACTTGTACGCACGCGCACAATTCCGAACTGCAATGGCGGCTTTTCACAGAGTGATCAAACTATATTTTACACAGTTTCGTTGAATTTTCAAAGAATTGTGCCGGTTTCCTATGTATTTTACGTTGTGTCGTACTCTGGACTTTCTTGCGTGTTGAATTAATGTGTTTTTCTTTGTGTAATGACTCGAAAACCACAAAATATAATATTTAGTACTCCACGAAATATGATCCGCGCGAAAAGCTTTGTGGTAGCTATACTAAAGATAAAGCGTGCGTTCAAAATACCAACAAGAACTAGAACCATTATTGTATCATTTGTATGGTTCTCATTTGCCAGACTTGCCACAAGTCGACCTCAAAGAAACGCATTTCGTTCGAGGTCGACTTGTGGCAAGTCTACTCATTTACAATAACATTAGTTCGACGCGAATTTTAATACAAGTATGGTATCATATTTCATAATACAACAAACAATGTAAACTAGCCATACATTTTGCCGAACATAACTTCGGCCCCTTTGGACATATCTTTTTCGTGATAATTTTATTGGAACCAGAATCGAAAACACTATTTATAGTGTTATTTTCAAGCTTGTGTCTTGAGATTTTCATCTTTTATTTCGGTATTTACAGAATATTTATATTTTTAGCGCGGCCCATGGAACGCACATGAAAACGACGCGCTGTTAGCAAAAACCGGAAATCGATTCTGTAGGTCGGCATGATTTGCACGTGCATCGATCTCCATTACGTCTCCCGAAAAGGTCTTTTATTTTTTTAAAAGAATGCGTTTAAGATTTGTATTCCCGCCTTTTGCACTATAGCACGTATCTCGTTATTTTCAGGCCAGTGTGAACTGAGCAGGCGTCTTGTTATCTTTATATACACATGGTGATCATCAATTCTGCAGCACCCCTCCCCCACCAGTTCAGTCCACCCCCACCCCCCAAACCCATATCATTTTTTTGCGTCTGGCAGATTCTATTTAAAAATCGGGTAACTCCACACAAAAAACCAGGCAGACTTAAAATTTTGGGGAATGGTAAAAGAGAGATCCACGGCACATATTAAAATAGTTGAAAATTGGAAGATACATGTAACGTTGGGAGAAATTTTTGGCCGTCGACGAGGAGGCGCAACCCCACAAGAAAATCCAATAAAATATCAAGAAATCCTAAATTAAATATTTTCTCACGGCCTTTTGGCTTTACTATTGCTATGCGGATTAATATTATGCGGACACAAATTACCTTTTTGATACTTAAAAAACAACCGTTTTCGTCCGCTAAATATGGCGAAATTAATATTATCAAGGAAATATATAACATGTGTCGACCTTCACTTCGTGCATCACAGCATGGGTCAGCAAAACCACTGATCAGAAAACTAGGGCTGCATGGATACTCCATCCTCTATGCATAATTGAAGTCAATGGCGGCCATATTGGTGTGACCACCACAAATCTACTGTGGTGTTGGTGACTTGTTAGAAGTGGTTCTTACAGTTTCTAATCATATCGGTGGGAATGGATAAACTTTGTTTGAAAATAAATTTATCAACAGTGGCCTCTCTTCACTTTCAAATTTGTCCCTGAATAACTAATGACGTCACACCAAGATGGCTGCCACATATCTTATTATCGAGTGTTTAAAACGTTATAAAAGTCATTAGAATAGATGTGGTATAACCTATATATTTCAAGTCACATAGGGTAAGACATTTGTTTGATAACGTATCTAATTTAAACACGTCGCGATCCGATTTGCAGCGATTTTGACAGACTTTAAAATCTCATCTCATTCTAAATATTCCGGCTTCAAAATTGGCAGCCGATTGAATTCAAAAGGATAGTCTATCTATAGTCCTGACTAATCAGATGGAATTGATGCTGCGCACGTACGTTTCTTGCTTATTGCAGCAACTGCCCACTCAAACTATAACTTCCCAACGAAGCACCTTCGCTTGAAACGTCGAAGTTCTCCTTGTATTTTAGTTCAGATAGTTGTATCCGTATCAATCCACTCAAACTTTACATTACATAGTCAAAGAACTTTTATTCAGTCAACTTGATGCATGTATAGTAAAACATTGAATAGTTAAAAAATAGATATGAAACAGCTAACGCCAGCAGACGTGACTTATTTTAAGTACGTGATGTCACGTATACAACAATATAGTAAAGTTTACTGCGTTTTCCTTCCATTTTCCTGTATTGTTTTCCATTCGGTTAAGTAGCTATATTGAGAGTACCATGGCACTTATTCGAAACGAATGTTTTTTGTCAATTTGAATGTTTAATCAACAAATAGGCATTTGTGACGCGTATTTCACGGTCTAACCAACGATATTTAGTTATTTCACTGTAGAATTGCATAATTGTATTCTTACGTTACGTTTCTTCTAAAATACTCAGCTTTAATATTAAATAGCTGTATTATTGTTAAGTAACGCGGAATTATTTTGGATTTAGTGACGTCATAAATTTCAACATGTGAGACTCCATCAACACGCAGAAACATCATGCGTGATCATGAGTTTCTATTCCATTGTTTTTATAATCCATGGTAAAAAAAGTCTTGAAAAACCCTTGAAAATCCAGACATAATTTTGCGAAAGTCAAAAAACAGGGTCTTTCTATGACAAAGTATACAAAAAATCAGACGTATAAAGCCATGGTCAAAAGAGAATGAGATTTGAGAAGCGACCGTTTGCATGAGAGTTTTCTCAACTCTCGTGCCCCGTTAACGAAAACAAGAGTTGCATAAGAATTAACTGAATATTGCCGCGCGCGCAGTGAAATATCTTATCAACTTTCATTAAAGTTTGAACCAGCTCGAATCAGTGAGAGTTGATGAGATTTGGTGGTCAAAATCGAGCGAGAATTGCAACTCTCATCCTCGCCGAAGTTCATCAAGCTCATAAAATTCTAGCTATTCAAAGAAGGCTGTAGGTTTTAACACTTATCAAGAAAATTATTTGACCAACCTCAGTACTCATGATCAAACTTGTTCGGTTTGACTAAAAGAACACCAAACTATTGAAAATTTATAAATGCATGTAAAACTAAAAAAACGCGAAAATTTCGAGGTTCTTTGGATAGTATTGCTATTTTGCTAAGTCAACTGAAGTTAATTTTGCAACTGCATGCAAAGTGTATAGATATAGTCTTGGCCCTTGCAAAAACTTTAATTGTACAGTATTCAGGGTGTCTCATAAAAGGAGACCTTTAGAAACTCACCTTATTGTTATAATTTGAGTGCCTGTGCACTATACTTTACCATAGTCAATCGATCGAAGGGAAGATATGGCTGTGAAACTCATTAGAATAACAATATATCTATGTTAGTCAACGTTTATAGTCATAAATCTGGTCCTTCACCGTCACGTATGTATCGTATTTTTTGCCCAACTAACCAATAGCAATGTTTTAGGAAAGTTATCTATCCGTGACTCGAACAATAGGGAAATTGGAAATTGCTATTGGCGGATTTGTCAAAGTGCAATACACACGTGACGGTGAAGGACCAGATTTATGAATAAACGTTGACTCACATTATTCTAATGAGTTTCATAAAGCCATCTTCCCTTCGATAGGCTATGACTGAACACACGGGTGAGTAAAATCTTGTGCTTAAAAAGGATATTTTAATTTCTAATTGGTCTCATCTTTTTTAATATATACATCCTGTCAATATATTAGGCATCCGTGGGTTCAGCATAGTGCTCAGGCATTCACATTATACCAACAGGATAATTTCTAAAGGTCTCCTTTTTTTTAGACACCCTGTATTGTAGAAACTACTGTTATTAACAATAGTACCATCATGTAAATAGGTCAATTAGAATGTCTATTGTCTTTTCATTGTTTTCGAAATGCCATCCACGTCATTGTCTCCATGATGTCGTGGTTAACTGTATGTGCCCAGACAAGTTATTTATAGTATTTGGATTAGGTATAAATACAGCCAATATTCCCTTGTTATTCCACCGACTTTCCTTCACTCGAAGAGTCGAAGTATCAAGCTATATATTGGTAAAAAAAAGCCAAACTATATCCGTGTAAAATTTATTATACCATTTGACGCCTTTTCGGGATTCACACGCGATCTTACCAAGTGGGGCAAACACACAGGTAAAACCATCGCTTCGTCCCAATAGGAATACTTGTCCTAGGGCTAGGGTCATGGTATTGCTATTCTATTGTGTTCGCCCATGCACTTAGCTAGATGGAGTCGCGAACCCGAAAAAGCGTATTGTTATATGCGTGGTGTTTAACAATTATTCGCCGAAGGCGAGGTGATTATCGGGGAATATTCGCCGAGACGAAGTCGAGGTTACGAAACGTTTAGAATAACAATCGTCAACGGCAAATGTATACACATGCATAATGAAGTAACACTGCAGTCAAGGACTATTTTGCATAGATAATGAATGGCAAATCCAAGCGAATTGGCAAGAATAATACACCAATTTAACCATAGCCTATCAAAGGATAGATGACTGCGAAACGTATTGGAATAAGAATATAACTCATTATATAATTATGTTACCGTCAAGTGTGTATTGTATTTTTGCTCAACTAACCAATAGTAATGTTTTAGAAAAGTTACCTATCCTTGACTCGAACAATAGGTAAATTGACATTAAAATACAATACACACGTGACGGTTTATGAATAAACGTTGACGCACATAGATAATGAGTTATATTGTTATTCTAATGAGTTTCATAGCCATCTTCCCTTCGATAGGCTATGGTTCAGTATGGTACTGAAGCACTCAAATTATAACAATAAGGTGCAGGAGTTTCTAAAGGTCTCCCTTCGATACTATGATTCAACCGAGACACAACTTGTATTAATTACAGTCCACCTGAGACGACAAGTTACAACGAATGGGATAATTATGAACGGATATCATGTGTTACCAACATCACATATATGCTATAAATACGCACCTCTTCTTTACAAGTCTTTATGCACTCTGTACTATTCAACTCGATACCATCACATAATACATGAACCAGGACAAAACTACCAAGGAGTTGTCGAAGATACATCATCGAATCTATACACGGTTATGTTAGAGATTCAACAACAATATACATACTTTCGACATTTGATACTTCTACACAAGTGCAAACATAGCTGTGCCCTTGGCTTTTATCTGAGCCAGACAAATAGATAAGGTTCAATGTCGAAGTCAACTCGCCAATATACCATCTACTTTTTCGTCGTATGGTCAAAATTTAACGACTTTCATAATTCAGTAGCGATATATCGATATTGTTTGACGCCAGTCCATGATCCGGCAAACGAAACGGAGTAAATTGAAATGTGTTAAAGCGTGACTGACGCTAATCCATTCAAACATTAACTATACAAAAATGTTGGTGTCTGTTTACATTATCATGGGAAATATGTTATTTTTCTACATGTTTGCCTCCTACACCACTGTTTATTTTCCGCTGTGAACAAAAAGGTCGGTAATTGCGCAAACTGAACTGACAAGCCGTTGGGAAAATCGATATAAAATACACATAGACCTTTATTATACAACACTGATAGGAATTCACAATTAATTTAATTCATGCTAATTAAATTGTCCAAGAAAGGATGAAAAACTGTAGCGTTAGACAAAACAATAGTAGAGCTAATAGAAAAATATAATTTGCGTTTCATATCATTTCAATATTGAAACTTTCACTATACTGTAGCTGCTACGTACAGATGATCCACATATGGCCTTATCCTGATAGCATCAGAACTCAGTCAACTCCTCATGCAGGAGTGTTGTCAGTGTAGGTGGGGGGAAAAACGAAACTATAACAGGTTAATTTAGGAAACTTGCAGTTACATGGTTGAAAAAGGAAGCAGTGCATTACGCAAAAAATTAAAACAACAAAATTCATAAACATTAAAAATATATATATATATTTCTGAAATTGGCAATATTAAGCATCGCCAAGCTATTACAAAGCTCAGAATTTCGGCTCATAGATTACCTGTTGAAACAGGTCGATATTGCAATGTTCCATATGATGAAAGAATGTGTCAGCATTGCAATTTAAACGAGGTAGGAAACGAATAATATTATTTAATGGATATTTTCATTGTTTTGAACAGGTTCTTATTTTTAATAAGCGACTACAACGGTCAGTAGCAAGTCATTATTTCGGTCAATCAGGTGGAACTGGAGGTCATTATGTACTGTTTAATAAACGAGCAGGAGTGTTTTATTATGTTTAAAGACACGAGCGCGCAGCGCGAGTGGCTTTAGACATAATAGAGAGTTTTAGCTTGACGTTTACGGAAAACGTCAAACCGCTAACGAAGTTTTTGATTTTACAACTCTATTATAACAGCTTTTACACTAATTTTGAAATATAAACAATTATTTAACTTGTGCTCTTTAGCAATCAGTGATTTAAAAGAAAGCAAATTAACCACTAGTCACGTATTCCCGAAAGCAGTAAATTAAGATTTGGCGTTTGAAGTTTACGTTTGGCGTATAAATTTCATGCTGTAACGACTATACAAGCCCTCATAGCAGTTCAAGCATGAAATTTATACGCCAAACGTAAATTTCAAACGCCAAGTCTTAATTTACTGCTTTCGTGAATACGTGACTAGTGGTGAATTTGCTTTCTTTTAAATCATTGCTAAAGAGCACAAGTTTAATGATTGTTTATATTTCAAAATTGGTGCAAAAGCTGTTACAATAGAGTTGCAAAATCAAAAACTTCGTTAGCGGTTTGACGTTTGCCGTAAACGTCAAGCTAAAACACTCTATTAAAACACGACCTGCGAGTTAATTAAACGGCTTCAAACACGACTACAAATTCAATAGATATGCTGCCTATTAGTAAAATAATTCAGTATTTTATATATCCTGTTTATAGTTATAGTATACTATAGTCAACGATTTTGTGATTTAATACTTTTTATACAATGTTATGTATTCATTATGTACCAGCATTGTTATGAATAAAGTTATTATTATTATTTATAATTAAACATTCAAAGCAAACTTGTTCTACTGATATTTCCCGATTTCCCGCAGTAAATCAATTCTTCTTATTTCTTCAAAGCAAAATTGCTCGAAAGTTTATTGTATGAAACGATCGATTCTCCAAATATATGCCTTTGAAAATTCAGTAAGGAGGGCCACCCATACTGACCCGATGAAACATAGCCACGTACGTGCCCGCGATTATTGATGAACTTCAGACTTCGCAGAGCGGAATTAGTATACCCTCGCCGATAGTATAGTAGTGTATTTGACAAAACGCCTGAAAACATGGGCATGTCCGTTGTTACTCTTTGTCAAGTTCAAACTCAAATTTCTTGCGAGTTTTCTGTCACCGTCTATAGGCTAATCTCAATGACATTCGTAGTACTGCATATCATCATTATTAATCGTCTTGGGTCGTCTAACAACCTCCCCCCCCCGTCGCCAAAACATTTTCGGTCAGTGTACCATTTTAGGGGTAAAAATTTTTTTCCGGAGTACAAAATTTTGCCGGACGAGTACGTTGCAAATGCTTTCGAGGGACTTTATCTCATTTTTTTATGCCAAAATTCGGTACTTAGCCCAAGAAAACAGATATCTTGTCCTTTGCGTGGAAATATTTAACACACAAAAAAGGCTGGGGCCCTACAAAAATTTTTCAGGGGCCCCCAGCAACTCGGGGCCCGGGGCAATTTGCCCCCTTTGTCCCCCCCCCCTCTGGGCGGCCCTGTGACCTACAACCAGGAGCAAAAATTATTGAGACATCCTATTCGCGCCCCACTTCCCCCCAAAATAATGTTGTTTCCATGACACCAAACCAGTGTTGGCTGAGAACCTTCACCCAACATTGTCAATGGGGGGAAGGGGGAAATAGTAAGAAAATAGCTGTTATCGTAGTTGAATACGCCGCTGCGGCGATTGGCGAACCAGCGGTATCTCAGTGGAAGTACGCACGAAAACGAGGCTAAAGGGTAAAAAAAACACAAAACATGAC